GATGTTTTGCCCATGAGGGTCCATTCTTAGACTTGTCACCGCTCTATAACAGGATAAGTAATCTGGAGGAGGGATGAAACAGAATAAATGATTGCCAAAGCTTTTCTACATTTCAAGGTAGGAGATGTTGAAAACAAATTTAATTCTCACCCAAATTTTAAAGAACTGCATGTGTGACACGTAAACAACTATTCAGAGGCATACTCACTTTGGGTAAAATAAACCTGTAAATAATGGAAAATAAAATGATTGTCCAGTTTCTGCAATTACAACAAACAACAACAACAAGCCTTTATCCCACTAGGTGGGGTCGGCTACATGGATTGCAAGACGCCATTGTGCTCTGTCCAGTTTCTGCAATTAATTAATATAAATTTAAATGTTACAGTAACACGTAAAACGCAATGAATGATGGTACCAAGGTTTCTTATAGTTTTCCTCCTATATTAAACATTCTCTAGTCCTAAGCATAATGTACATATTCATGCAAAATGCTCCAGAAAAAAATAATGTAACAAATAGTGATGCAAAATTATCTGGATTCATTAACCATCTGGGCACTCGCAAACTCTGATTGGACTAGGAAAAACTACAATACTCAGTCTATCACGTGATGGCCTGAGAGATCATCTGAGATCTATATACTAAGCCAAACATTCCATCAAACATAACACATACTGACTCACATTTCTGTAAATAATAGAGGATTTTGGACATGCTTCTTTTATCCCAACTAAAGAATAGCACAAATAGAAGAACAAACCCAGAGTTATGTATCTAATACCCTGTTTGGTAGGGTGGGACTAGGGAGAAAAGAGATACCTCGTTAGTTATTACTGAAAATTTTCTATCATATATTTTTTATTACTTTTTAAATTAACAACACAATGATCATATTATACCCTCAATTATTTCTCATTTAATTTTCCATTTTACTCGTTTCCATTTTGTGTACCAAATGAAACCTTTTATTTTGGGAACAGAGAACTCTAAATATGTAGAAAGTGCAGAAAATAATCATAAAAGAAAAGGCACCCTTGAGGTGTCCATGTTAAAAAATCCTTTCAGAATGAAATGTCCTCAAATTCAATAGCAAAATTTAAAGAAGCGAACCCATATATATATGAATATAAAGAGTCACTCCCTTGGAGGGTCCTTTTCAAGCCTCTTCCAGAAGACATGTTTCTTGTCCAACAGACATTAGTTGGCCTTTGGAATGAAATAGTTTGTCCCATGCTTCCATTAATACCACAGAAGTGAAGTACGTACTTGGGAACACTTAACAACCAAAAATGCAAAAGTAAATGTATTTGATGATCAATTTCCACTCGTAAGCATGAAGGTTAACAAGGAGCGGGAGCAATGATGAATCATTATTCCTAAAATCCTCACTAAGACAGATGTACATAACTTCCTCATTTAAAAAGGAGATTAGAAGTTATGGAAAAGAATGAGGAACCAAAGGTCATACTTACATTTCTTGCAATCCAGTGCAATTTCCTAATTCTGATGGAATGGTCCCATATAAGAAGTTGTTGTTCAGAGCACTAGAATATAGATGAGTTAACTACATCAGATGCAGAAGACCAGCAAAAAACCAACAGAATAGAATAACTTTAAAAAAGGCAAAATACATACAGAATCCTCAGATGCTCTAGCTTCCCAAGGTCAGCTGAAATAGACCCACTTAACTTTTGATGATCCAGAAACCTAGATGATCAGCAATGAAAGCAAAGTGAGATATAAAAAGCCAGACAAACTTGTCAGCAAAACTCCTGTCACGTTTAAAATCCCAGTATTTCTTTTACCATAATAGAGAGTTCAATTTCTCAAAATAACATGATACAATCTTATGAAACCAAAAGTAGCATGATAAAATCATTTCACTCTCCAGATGATAAAGGTTACATCAATAATCATTACTATATAAAAGGGGAGGTGAGGGAGATGATACATACTTTCAGTGCTAATCCAAATTGGCTTATAACAACGCAAAAAGCTTAAAAAATGACAAGATCACCTTTTATAAAGACAAAATGTAATCAAAACAAAGAATAAAGATAAAAATAAAAACATACAGATTTGTCACTCTCTTGGTTTTGGGATCACATGTTACTCCTTTCCATTTACATGGGTCAGGATCCTCAGGCCTCCAAGGTAACAGGTCACTATTGGGGCTAACTGCTGTCCTGAAGGTAAGAAGTGCCTCTCCTACAAATACAAAATGAAATAAACTAGAACTCAAACAATCCAAACTCAACTCAGAGGGGATCTTATTAAAACATTTACATGGGAAAGATACCAAACAGCCAACTAAATTACAGATTTATCATCACATACCATCAGGACTGATTGCTTCATTCCTATTGATTACATGACATATCAGCAGAACACAAAGAAGCCATGGCCATTGCCATTTCATCAGACAAACGCCCATGGCAACAGTGTTTAAGCATAATATAGTCACTAAGAGTCATCTGAGACAACCGTATGAAAAAAGCCTGCTTCCAACATGTATCTATCTAATATGTACTGACATCAGCAGCTGCAGCAGAATCAAGTCCTTGATTTCCACAGAAAGCTACTAACCTGAAATAACAACAAACAATAACATTTTTAAAAACTGATTTAGTCAAAGTAAAGGGGAAAACCTTGCTTTGGCACTTATACAAGTAAACAGAAGCAGGGTGGTTAAAATATTTTCAACCAACAAGGCATATGCATAAGCAAAGCAAGCTTTCTATGTTTACTTGATGTTGGAGATCACAATATCTAAACATGATTTTATATGGAATTAGCACCAGTTGTTGATTTGAATATTTTAGTTTTGTTCCTATATTTAGCCAGTTTGTTCAGGCTATTAGGATAAGATTATTATAACTAATTTTCTTAAGATAGAGCCCTAGACAGTAGGAGTTTTCAAATACTTTATCACAATATTTAATTAACCTTTCTGGTTAGCAGTTGCTGGGATTTGATTGATAAGATCTGTTGCCTCCTTTACCTATAAATGGTCAGTTATATAAATTCAATGAAGCAATTTCAAAGGAAATTTGAAACTCTGAATTGCTACATGGGATCACCGCTTTCCATAGCCCAAAAAATTAAACTAAAACATTTGCCCAAGTGGTGATGTGATGGCTCATCAACACTATAATCCTGGGGATTTGAAAGGATATGTTCCGCACCACTGGTAAGGAAATTTGGAATGAAGTGAAGAAACATGCTTTTGACAATGACAACACATCAAACAGATCCAGATAACAAGAGTTTCACAATCTCCAACAAGATGAGTTTAAGTGTTACTCAATACTATAGCATTCAATCAGTGTTGGAGACAATTAGGCATGTTTGACAATATTGTCTGAGATTGCAGTCAAGATGAATTGAAGTTTAAAAATTCTAAGAAAAGAATGGAATGTCCAAATTTTTGTCAAGCCTAAGGAAAGATTTGGGTAAAACCACAGGAAGGATCCCTATGGCCCAGCCTTATCAACCATCAAGGATGCCTCCTCTAAAATTGGAAGAGAAGAGAGCCAAAGAAATCAATAATGGCTGATCAGACGACTACTTACACAGAAGAGTGAGCTCATATGTATGACTCATGGTCAGGCCACTGATTTTATTAAGCACGCAAGAAAAGGGGCCGTGTAATTGCAGCGGATTGAAAAATCATCTACCCAGCATGCGGCCTACATTTTCCTATTATATTTAGTGAAAATTATAGCCATCATTATCTATAACTAATATTTCAGAATGTGATGCCGTAAAGAAAATGGCGCTTTGATAATGGCGAATAATGAGTAAAATGATAAAGCAAAACTAACATTAGAACATTAAAGGCCAAAAGAACCCCTACTAAGAATTCAGCTCGGGGGGGCGTCACAAAAGCATCTTAGACGCAGCTGTGCAAGTGAATCGATGAACTACTGCTAAAGAAAACAGAAATTATATAAAGAAGAAGAAGGGATCCCGTACAATTTCATCAGCTTCATAAGCAAGCAATGCATCCTCATTAAAAATGTAACAAAAAGGTTCGTTTAGCTTAATTAATCAATTTGATACCAATTGTACCAATGCTGCGAAACATTAAGCTGGTAAATTCACTAAATTGCATCAGACGATTTTCTTTTTTCTTTTTTCTTTTTACTTAGAAAATCGAAGAAGCAAAGAGAACATAAACACTCACCTCGATACGATCGAGGACACAAAAGCGTGATAAACGGAGATTGAGCTGTAAAGGAACTAGTTCAAGCTCCCTCACCCTCGAAGTGCTTGAGATTTGTTCGAGATTCTGGAGTGGAGTGAATAGGAGTGAAAGTAGAAGAGTGTGCGTGATTTGATGCTTGGAAATTTAAGGGAATCCGTACATCCAGTTACAGCAGGACCGCTTGGCACGGGAGAACTGAAGACAAACACGCGCCGCACGTGTAACCGACGCGCTCGTTCTGGAAACTTGCCACAGCATTGACGCCTATACTTTATACATTACACTACAAAAGATTTGAAGAGTATCCTCTTAAGATACTTCATGGTACATTTTATGGTGAAACAGTGAAACTATATGCACGCGCACACACAAATATATATATATATATATATATATATATTTTGAACAAAAGATTTTATGGTGAAACTATAAACAGAAGAAAATGGGTGTAGGCACCAACTTCTGCGAAAGTTACATGTATAAAAGCTACGAAAGTATAATCCATTATTTTATTTTTATCTTTCCTTAATTCTACATATTTAGAAGAATATGTAGGTATCAATTTCTGTAATTATACAAGGTTAAAAAAAATTATGTTATCATGCTAATACGTTATACATACTAAATGGTAAGTTTATTTAAACAGGACAATTTTGGCATTATGGGTAAAATAAAAAAGTGAAAACTCATGAAAAAAGATTTTTTGTTTATCAAAGTTATACCAGAAATACGATTTGCTTCTCGAGTTGTATGTACTGTAATCATCATCAAGTTATTAATAGAAGAGAAATTGATGGTATATATATTTTCATTTAAATGCCAAAATGGAAAAGTAGTACAAGGATGCTGATGAATCCATATTTCAAAGGGTCGATCTGGGAGTCACACAGGGCCTCAAAGGATTCTTCATTACAATAGTGAAGGCTTGCTTCTCGGTCATATCAACTTCGCAGCCATCTTGCATCATCCACTTAAAATCCCTCACTAAATTGGCCACAAAATACTCAACATGAAGCAGAGCCATATTTATTGCAGGGCAAATCCTCTTCCCTGCACCAAACGGCATCATTTTGATCTCCGAATACCCTTTTACATCAAACTCACAGTACTGTCCTTCTCTTTGACCTTTCATCAAAAACCTTTCAGGCTTGAACTCCATTGGATCTTCCCACACATTTGGGTCCCACCCTAACTCCGCCACCAGAAAATTCACAATCGCGTTTTTGGGTATGAAGTAACCTTCCATTTCAGTGTCTTGTGTCACTGCTCTGGGCAGTATGAAGTGTCCTGGTGGGTGTCTCCGAATCGTCTCTAACACAACAGCTTTCAAGTATGGCATCTTCTTCAAGTGGTTCTCTTCGATTTCTTCGTCTGGTTTCACAACTCGGTTGATCTCATCGAACAGTTTCTCTTGTATGGTTTGATTCTTCACTAGATTCGCCATTGCCCATAACCATGTGGTGGCCGTCGTGTCTGTTCCAGCTAACATGAACTCAGAACACATGCTCACTAGTTCTTCATCTGCTAGCTTCCTTCCACTGTCAGGCAGTTTCATGTCGAAAAGAGTATCAACATAAGCAGTAAACCCTCCTTTTAATTTCTCATGTTCTTCACCGAGCTGGCTTTTTGTTAATTCATGACGAGATTTTATGATTGGGAGGAGGAAATTGACTTGATTTTCCCGAATCTGCAGAAGTTCTTTCCATAGTTTTCTAAACAAAATCTTGGATAGAAATGGAAGGAAATTCAACACATTGAACCTAATGAAATTGTGAAGCACATTGTGGAGCACTTTCTGAATCTCCCTGACACTATTCTCATCAAAGTTTTCTCCAAAACACATATGGGATAGCAAAGCAAACATTGAAAGCTCAATGTGATCATAAACAGGTATAGCCTTATTACCCAATTCAATATCAGCAAGAATGTTCTTCTTAAGCAGATCTAAAGCACACTTACGACACTGAGAATACAAGTGTAATCGAGAAGGGTGTATGATCTGCATAAGGTTTTGACGAAGAACCCGCCACGTGGGACCATACTGAGAAGTACTGACACCATGCTGGTTAGGGAAGAATACTCTGGTGGTTGGAAGAGCCCATGGACGACCGGCAAAAACGGTGCCGTTTTTCACCAGAGCGCGATGAGCTGTTTCATGGGTTGTTATGAAAATGGAGGGAGTGGACCCCATGTAAATAGTGACGATGTTACCATATTTGGAACGTAGGAAACGTAGCACAGGTTCGAGGTCGGCAAAGTTTTTTGAGGATTTTAAGAGCCAGTATATGTTTCCTAAAATAGGTACTGTAGGTGGACTCGGTGGCAGCTTCTTATTGCCCGTGAAACTAAGAGCAAGGGTAAGAATGAAAGTACAAAGAGACATCGAAGCTAGAACGTAGAACCAGAATCCCATTATGCAAGAACAAAGAAGGTTAAGAGAACTTTGTCTTGCTCTTGAGTTCCGGAGCGTCGATGTTAATTAGCTTGCGGGTTAAATAGGTTGTGATGAAAGAAGTTGGGTGGTGCCATTAAAAGGAGTTATGTGTTTGTGCATTTAATTTGGTTCATGCTTTACGTTTGTCACTTTTTTGACGTTAAATGTCTGTGCTTGACTTGAATGCGATGTGAAAACTGAAATGAAATGGCTTTCCAAACGAGAAAATTATAAACGTGGAATCGGTTCATTTGATCATTACAGTCGATAAAAAAAAAAACAAGGAGTTATATACCTAATTTTATATACTTAATATACTTATATTCAATCAAATTATGATAAATAAATTTTAATATATTAATAAAATTAATAACAAAATTTATTATAGAATAAATAATCAGTAAAAGATTTACATATCTTAATTTAATTGAAAACAAATACATTAAATATATAAAGTTAAATATATAAGTTTTTTCTCAAAAAAAAAAAGCTTGGGATCGATCTAAATGAATAAAAGAATAAAAGAATTAGTGATTAATCGCATAAAGTTAATTTTTGTTTTTAAATAGTATTTTGACATTTCTCCCGGTTTGGATGATTATAGAAAAAAAAAATTTAAGCAAAAGTCTGAAATTATGAATTTTGTGGCTTTTAACGTAAAAGCAAACATGCCAATATGCCATTTTACCATATATGTAAACCATGAATCATTTATTATCTTGTAAGCCTTGAAAACATTAATTATCGGTTACTAACATCCTATGGTATTGGCTAACAATACCTTGAACCTTCTCAGTTTGAAACTCCCCCGTGAATGTCATAATAACAACGTATCCGCATAATTGATTATTGGTAGAGTGATTTGATAGTGTAGTGAATGAATATAAAACATATGGATTGAAATAAGTCTGGATTTAATTAAGCTAACGTTGGAAATTAAAGATGGTGAATAAGTTAAGCTTAGCTTGACTACATATTTTTAAGACGCTGGTTTCTATTTTTGTCCCACATGTCTATATGTCTAGAAACAACTGTATTTTACCCCAAAAAAAAATCAAAATACCATCCAGAGACTTTACAAACAAAACCATTCCTAAATATCTTTTTCTTCCTTTTTCACCTTTTCCCCTCGTTCTTTGATGTCAAGAAGCTTGTTGAGGTCTTGCTCCCAGAGAATTGTGCACCTTTATACGTGGGGAAAGTTATACAAAGGCACTTCATAATAAGCTTTATGTTCTCGTGAAAAGATATTATTGGCTCATTCCTTCGTAATTAATTAAATAGAGCTTTTGACGCTAAACAAAATTATTGCAAAAGAATACGAGTTTTTTTCTTAAGAGGAGAATGCGAGATTTATGTCGTGTCAATGGAGGATGCGCGCGCACGTGTGGAGTAAGAGTGGGGGTACTCATATCGCATATAATGCTGGGGAAAAAAGATGATATCGCATATATAAACGACTCATAAATTATTTCAAATTTCACATTTAATTTTGGTAAATTTATGCATAGAATTTGATGAGATGGGTAGAAAAAATGAGATATATATTGATCACATTTTATGCACCCATTACAAATCATATAATTTCAGCGATAACTAATATTAATGATGATGTGAAAAATCAATTTCAGAATTCATTGGCAAAAATATTTTTAATATTTATAATTATATTATATTATTATTTTTTATATGATTTTAAATCACAGTTAACACGTATCAGTCTTCCCTTGTGCTTGGATTTCAACAAGAGAAAATTAATTATAGAAAATATTGATTAACAGAACGCAGTGATGTTTGGATAATATTTTTTAAAATTAATATGTGAAATTGAGAATCAATTAGCTTCTTCAAATGGAGTTTAAAAAAATTAGAAACATTTGGATGATGATCCAAAACAATGATTTTGGACTTTATAATTGATTTTAAAGGAGCATCTAAACAGATTATTCATTGTTGTCTCAAAAGTCAAGCTAGCCTTAATGTTAAAGTTGTCAATAAAAAACAAAAGAGAAGGAGGCAACAACAGATTACAGTAATGGCTCTCTCGCTTCCCTCCAAGCTCCCTTCTCACCAACCTCGTCGTGCACAAACGGAAGAAGAGAACGATCAACTTGCAAGAAGTTCAAAAAAGATCAAAAATGTTCTAAGCAAAGATGTGACTCCTCCACCGGGTGACTGGCCAATGCTGGGTACAAAAATTCATTCTCAACCTCCAAGCAAGCAAACTTTCGCAGATAAGCTCAAAGGAACCATCAGGGACTACCCCTTGGATGGTGACACTGAAGAAGAGGAAGACGACATCAACTCAGATGATGATCAAAATGAGGCAACTGGTTCAGACCCAAATGAACCACATGTTACGACCTTTGAGAACGAGAAGAAGAACTTCCCAACTTTCATCTTCTCAGAAAACTTTAAGAAGCGGCTTTATAAGGCATGGAAAAAGGCAGTCATTGTGAAACTCCTGGATAGGAATATTGGCTTCAAAGCTCTGGAGTCAAGGTTGCAAACGACGTGGGCAAAAAAAGGCGTTATCAAACTGATAAATATTGGTTTTGGCTTCTTTGTCGTCAAACTGTCAAATAAAGAAGACTACTTCAATGCCCTCACAGTAGCCCCTGGATGATTTATGATCATTATCTTACCGTTAGACCATGGGAGCCGAAATTCAAACCTCAAAGTGCTACCATTGACAAGGTTGCTTACTGGGTCAGAGTGCCAAAAGTTTTCCTTGAATATTATGACAATGAGGCTCTCATGCTTATAGGTAACAGGATTGGACAGACTATAAAGGTTGATCTTCACACTTCATGCCAACTCAGGGGTCACTTTGCAAGGATTTGCATCTTGATTGATCTAAGCAAGCAGTTAATGTCTGGGTTTCAATTGGATGGGGAAGATTATTACTTAGAATATGAAGGTCTACATATGTTGTGTACTAACTGTGGCTTCTATGGTCATAGAGCAGAAATCTGCCTTTCAAAAAACCAAAGCTCCTAGCAAGAAGATAAAACAGAACAGCCAAATGCCCTGCTGAAGCAAACGTCGAGAGCCAACAAGCAAACACGGTGGAGCAGGCCGAAAAATGGTCCATCGTTCAAAAGCCTCATCGCAACAGAAGGGGAAAGAGAAAATAGCTAAGCACAACTCCCATACAGTATCAAGTTCACGTTTCGAAGCATTAGCTGAAGAAGGAGAGACACTAGAGAAAGGAACAGAGAGAGCCGTACAGTTCATGGCCATGCACGTAGCTGAAACCTCTGAAAAGGTGGGCTACTTGAGAAGTCAAAAGCAAAAGAAAAATAGGAAAGCAAATATGATTAATGCAAAGAGTATGGAGGAGGTTATCAATTGGGATGATATAGCTGCCCATAACGCCTCAATTCAATAGAGAGTGTCTAACTTAAACGAGCAAAGAGAAGCTGGAATGCAGGAATATACCCAAAAGCGCCGCGTCGAGAAACGCACAAGAGATATGCTGGGAGAGCAAATAAAAAGCAATGAAATTCTAATGCTTACTTGGGAAACCAATGTCAGAATGTCTACCGAGGAAACACCACAGTGTAGAGACCACTCAAATCTTTCCCTAGAAGCAATGGACGAAGGCCCTCTTGATGATAGCCTGAAGGAAAATTCGAAGGAAGATTTAGATCCTGGAGATCCACTTGGACCTTGCCCAATGTCCCAGGAAAGCCAAATCCAAGTGGTCAGTCTTTGGACTCAGTTGTGCCTGAAACCCAGTTCCCCTCTGGGCTTTAATTGTGCTCTTATTTCCTTCACAATTATCTTGATGATCAGCCTAGTTTACTGGAATGTACGAGGTGCTTGTGGAAAGGGCCTCCTACGCAACCTCAAACTTATCCTCAATGGGCCTAAACCCACCTTAATTGCTCTGGCAGATACTCGCTGTGACCAAGAAGCTCGTCTCCTCTGTCTTCAGCGTCTCGGCTTTGACTCTTTGATTTTAAGTAACAGTGTCGGTAGGTCTGGTGGTTTGGTTATTGCTTGGAATAGCAACCTTCTACAGATCATGCCCTTACAAATTGATCGCCAATTCATTCATTTTTCTTGTGCAACCAAAGACCACACTCCAATCTTCATCACCTTTGTTTATGCTCTTCCTCATTCAAATTTCTGAGAAATTCTCTGGGGAAAATTGCTCACCTTTGCTTCCTCCATTAAAGACCCATGGATTGTTCTTGGAGATTTTAATGATATTGCATCTAGCTTTGAAAGAATTGGAGGCACTGGTGTTTCTTACTCTCACCTTTACTGGTTCTAGAATAAAATGGACGCTTGTGCCTTAACTGATTTAGGCAGTTCAAGTCCAAAATTTACTTGGAAAGGACCATGTATATCCAGATATTCCAGGCTCTATGAAAGACTCGATCGAGCTCTAGCAAACAGTAGTTTCCTCTTTGAATTCCTAATTATATGGTAAGAGTCTTGCCTAAAACTGATTTTTTGAATCATAACCCCATTCACATTCAGACGAGTAGAAGGTTTGCATCTATACAAAACTCTAAACCCTTTCATTTTGAAGCTATATGGCTTTCTCACAATTCCTTTGACACTCTACTTAGAGAACATTGGTCTGCCCAAAACAGCCTCCCCTGGAATCTTGAAAACTTTTAAAATTCTCTCCTTGACTGGAACAAAAATGTTTTTGGTATGGTAGAGCAAAAGAAAAAACACATCTTGGCAAGGATCAATGGTATTAAAAAATCTGACTCCTTTCCATACTCCAATTTTTTGATAAATTTAGAATTGGAGTTGCAGACTGAGTTACAAGAAATTCTTAAAATGGAAGAAACCAAGTGGTTTCAAAAAGCTTGTACAGATTGGATTACCAAAGGTGATCGCAATATCCGATGCTATCATCTCAAAACAAATTTGCGAAGAAGGAAGAATCGGGTCTCTACTCTTAAAGATAGTTTAGGGAACTGGGTTGAGGACGAAGCTAGCTTACAACAATTGGTTTCAAATTACTTCAAAGGTATTTACCAATTAACTGACACCAACTCAGTTTGGCTCTCCACCAAAACCTCTTTTCCACAAAGAGATTCTGAGTTACTGGGAAACCTTGCTCTGCCTCCCACTCTTGAGGAAGTTAAAAATGCCCTCTTCTCCATGGGTCCCTACAAAGCCCCCGGTTATGATAGATTCTCACCAATTTTCTTCCAATCTAACTGGGATGTAGTCGGCTCATCAATCTACTCCTTTATTTCTGCTGTGTTTGATGGTAATATCTCTCTAGCTGAGGCAAATAAAACTCTGATCTCTTTAATCCCAAAAAGAGATAATCCTTCTCTTGTGAGCCATTTTAGACCAATCTCCCTTTGCACTGTGCATTACAAATGTATCATGAAGATCCTGAATCAACGATTGAAGAGGGTTATGAATGATCTCATATCACCATTTCAATCTAGCTTTATCCCTGGACGGCATATCCAAGATAACATCATCATTGGCCAAGAAATACTACACATCATGAAAAAGACAAAAAAGAAGAAGGGTTTCTTTATGATGAAGGTTGATCTGGAAAAAGCATTTGATCGCATCAGATGGGACTTCCTGCAGCAAACTCTCAAAGAAGCTGGGATGGACTCAAAGCTTATGCAATTAATCTCCCATTGTATTTCTACTGTCTCATATAATGTCCTTTGGAATGGTCTACTCACTGAATATTTCCCTCCGGAATGTGGTCTTCGCCAAGGGGATCCTATCTCCCCCTCACTTTTTGTTCTGTGTATGGAAAAATTGTCTCACCTTATTTGTGATGCTATCTAGGATAGAAGTTGGAAACCAATAAACATTACTTCTACCGGTCCTGCAGTATCCCACCTCATGTTTGCAAACGACATTTACTACTTTTTGGGGAAGCTTTAGAAGAACAAGCCTCCACAATGATGCGCTGTTTGCACACCTTTTGTGACGCATCTGGTGAGAAAATTAATCATGCAAAATCCTCTCTCTTCTTCTCAAAGAATGTCACAGCTTCGTTAAAAGGGAGGATCAAAGGTATTATAGGTATGCAAATCTCTAGTGACATAGGTCATTACCTCGGCTTTCCCATTAACTCCCACAAAAAATCCATTGAACAATTTTCCTATATTGTTGAAAGAGTTAAAAGTAAACTTGCTGCCTGGAAAGCAAATTTCCTATCAACTACTGGTAGAATCAGTCTTGCAAAATCTGTTCTTAGTGCTATTCCACTCTACCCTATGCAAGTGTCCAGAGTTCCTGTTGCTGTTTGTAATGAAATTGAGAAAATTCAGAGAAAATTTATTTAGGGCAAACCCAATAGTCATGGCTTTCACCCAATTAATTGGGAGAGAGTTACACTCCCTAAAGATTATGGTGGTCTCGATTTTAAGCGGCTTACTTCTGTGAATACAGCTTGTGGTGTTAAATTAGCTTGGAACCTAATTCATGGGACTTCTAGCCTCTGGACAAATGTTCTCCAGTAAAAATATATGCTCAGGAATGAAGAAAACCTTTTAGAAGCAAAATCTGGAGATTCTAGATTATGGCATTTTATTTGCCAACAGAAAGATTTACTTAATAAGGGCACTAAATGGCATATCCGTAATGGCCAACATGTCTCTTTGATGATTTTTAGTTAATACCAGATACAAAATTGAAAGATCTCAGTGTTAGGCCCTTATCTCCCTTTGAAGAACAAAGCAAGGTTGTAGACTGGGTAGCCTTCGGCTCTTAGGATTTTATCAGATTAGCTTCTATTCTCCCAAATGATGTTATTCTCAAACTTATATCTGTTCTCCCACCCTCCCCTCAAGTTGGGAATGATATTATGACTTGGAATGCTACACCTAATGGTCTATTCACCCTCAAAAGTGCTTATTTTCTCATTAAAAACAATCCTCCCAATTTTTTCTCACCTACCTACAAGCTTATTTGGAAGTGGAAAGGTGTTGAGAGGATTCGCCTCTTTATTTGGATAGTTTTCCAGAACAAACTTCCTACCAACTTATGGCGAAGCTCTTGGTCCCATGGTTCTTCTTTTTGTAACTGGTGCAACTTGGCACATGAAGATGCTCTTCACATCCTACGTGACTGTCCTTATGCAAAACGCCTTTGGTCTCAATTAGTAGATAACAAGCTCCACTCAACCTTCTTCTCTTGCCCTCTTAAAGATTGGGTCAACCTAAATCTTAAGAGTGACTTTGGTTATCTCCCCGACTTGGAATGGAGTACCTTCTGGGGAGTCTCTATTTGGCACCTTTAGAAATGGAGGAATAATTTTATCTTCAAATCTGACTTTATAAAACCCAAAGATCCGGTTTCATACTTGCTTGCTGTCTGGAAATCCTTTTCCTATCATCATTTTCAATACAGTGAAGTTGAAGACTCACAAACATCTACTTGGCTCCCTCCTCCTCTGGGTTTCTTTAAACTCAATGTTGATGGTGCTGTCTCCCTGTCTAATTCAAATGCAAGATGTGGAGGAGTCCTTTGTGATCACTTAGGTACTTGGGTTGCTGGATTCACCTTCCATCTGGGCCATTGTACCCCTCTTGAGGCTGAAGCTTAGGGCTGTCTTAAAGGCCTCCAAATTGCTTGGGATATGGGCTTCGAAAACATTATTTTAGAATCTAATTGCAAAATTCTATTGACTATCTTGAGCTCTTATCCTGACATCTCCTCCAATTACAGCCTTGTCTTTTTAGAGATTGTCAAGATGCTGAAATCCAATTGGCAGATCAAGTTGAACCATATTTCAAGGCTTCAAAACAAAGTTGCTGATAGTTTAGCAAAAGAGGCACTTAAAGTCTCTTCCTTCTTCGGCAATGTTCCTTTATTTCTAAAGGACCTTGTGCTTAATGATTGTATGGGATTCAATCCCCCTCTTTTTTAGTTAATTAAGTCCCTTAGGCTTTGCCCTCCTTTCTACCAAAAAAAAAGTTGTCAATAAAAGCTGATTCAATCCTTATAAGCTAATTGTTACAAACTAGACTCTAAGAGCTCAAATTTATGAGCACAGTTTTTTTAAATTTAACACTTTTCTCAAACCCCATTTTTATTGACAAGGCTTATGGTGAGGCCCAAAAACTTGTATAACTTTTTTATTTTTTGATTAAATTTTTTAATTATACTGATATAGTATATAGTCTTTATTGTTATCAATCTCCATTCAAAAATAAAACACTAAACCCTTCAAAGTAAAGCTTACTTGGAGAAAGTTGTGCTATCTCAACAACCTCACTAATTTCATATTTATTAATAAATATTTAACAAATTATTCATTAATCAATATTTAACAAATTGTATTATTTTTATATATTAATTTAAAACTTCAAATAAATTGTATAAATAAAGTTAAAAAAATTGGAAGGTTTGGTTCACAAGCTTATGAAGATAGGGTCTAAAAAATATTTTATACTGAATTTTTTTTTTTTTTTAAAGCCCAGCTTTTAAAAATGTAGATTTTAAAAGATAACATGCTAAGCCTAACTTACTCACTCACTCTCTCTCTCTCTCTCATAGCTAGGTTTGACTGTTGTTAATAGCTCAACTTGAAGCGAAATCATGAAACCTAGGTAGAAAGGAAAAATTAACTTTCTAACTCAACAGGACAATAGATTAAAAGTAAAATAACTGTGCCATAAAAATGAATGGATTAAACTTGATACAGATGATTTAGTCAATAATCAATGTGCAACTTTATGTGGTGGCCTCATCTAAGAAGAACATGATAAGTGGATTAAAAGCTTCTCCAAATATTTTGAATGTCACCCAGGTGTCGAAGTTGAACTTAAGGGTATATTAGAGTGATTACACATTTTTTGGATTAAAAAGATTGACAAAGTTAATGTCTACTTTAACCTTATGGAAGCTCTCAAGGTAATATGCAATAAATTCTCTCTAAATTATTCTCCAACTATAACTATCAACAAAATAAAAAATTTTATTATGAGAGACAGTTACCCTTAATCACACATTTACAAAGAGACTAATAAATATGTATATTGATTAGCTCATCAAGTTTTTATCGACAATCTTACTATTTATGTTTTTGACACTCTATCATTTAATTGTAAAAATTTATATATGCTAACATACGTAATATGTTGTCTAGTACGTTGGTTGCTTTTTATGTAAAAAAAAAAAAAAACAAACAAACAAGCAAACAAAAAGATGGGGTCAATTGCGCGATTGGCGTATCCTAAGTTCCATTGCTAGAATGCGCCCGCATGTCGATATGGCCCACTTTTTCTGATTTCCGTGGCTGACGACTTTCGCGTTCGATCACTCGCCTGACAGACAACACCGAAGAACGAAGGCGACACGCAGAGAACGAGTGGATCTAAGCGGGATGACGCGGGGGAAGCAGAAGATCGAGGCACAACGAAGAAACGCAGAGAGGAATCAGAAGCCAAAGGGGTCGCAGCTTGAGGCCCGAGCCGGTGGGCTTAAAGTTGCCTGTCCCATCTGCAAGGTTATTACTCTTGTCATCTGTTCCCGCCCTATTTGGTTTGACTTGAACAGGGAAAAAATGAATGTGAAGAATATCTGTTCCTAGACTTTGATGAAGTCGTGATCTCGATTGCTTTCTTTCAACCTTTTTATTCGTTGGTTATCGGTCGTTCCGAGTCAATTCTCCTTGACTGTCCTTGCTGGCTTTTGTCATTGGATTCTTGTTTATAGTGTAGAATCGGTAGATCTGGCTATTATTTGAATATTTCATTTTCTTCCTTCATCCGCGATTCACCGTTCTGAAGGCTATTGACCGATATTACAAAGGGAATATTCGACGGATGGCTTTTTTATACGGGGAAGGGGAGGATGGCGGCTTGCGAGGGCTAAATTACTTTTGAACTATTGGGGAACAACTGAAAAAATGCTCTTGATTACAGAGAATCATCAAATCTAAATCCAATTTCCTCTCTTCTTGGACCCCCCCTCCTTTCTTGTTTATATCATTGCGCCATATATTTTAAAACCAAAGAGAGGTGACAAAAATGGATGGACTGAGAGGGGCGGGCTTCTAATTTTGTTCGTGCACCAATGGCTTTTTGGTTCGTTTGAGATTGAGAGGAGTGGCAAAGGACAGATTCTAAAAGAGTGAAGGATGAAGTAGGTGGCCTGGTAACACAGCTGGTGGAATCCTCCAATTGCTTTATTATCTGTGTGGATCCACTATCTTATTACTCTGGGGCAACTTCTTCATTTTCTGTATGGTATGGAATTTTTGTGTTCCGTATAATTTCAGGTTATTTTTTGGGTTCTTTGTAGTTGTTTGGAATTATTGAAAAGCATGCCATTTGTCATTGCACGTGTGTAATGGAGTTTAGCGTTAAGTATCTAATGGGATATCGATCCAAAGGTCTGCATCCTTGTATGCTATAATGTAGGAGTCTATCATCTGGATTTCAAAAGACATGGTGGCTGTTCGCAAAATGTCACGGGTTACCTGGGTTGGTGTTTGGCTTCTCTTCATTCGCCTTCTCAACTGCACCTCTCCTTTCCCTCAAAATCACGCTGTTTCTCTCCTTTCCTCCTCAATTCTCATATAAAGGTACTCAGGTTCAAAAGCTTCGTTGTTAGCAGTGACGACCCACACTCCAATGCTCCTTTGGATAAAAATAAAATTTTTATTTGTAAAAAACATTAAATTAGATTTTGGCCCCTTCACTTCATGTTTTAGTTTCAATTTGGCCCCCTCCAATTATTTGCTTCTCGATTTGTCACGGTTCTTAGCACAATATGCATATAGCTTTTCCAGTCACAGCCCCACTATCCATGCTCTTCCATCTCGTTCATACAATCTCAGCCCTTCTTTCTTTTTTCCTACAGCCCTTGTTTTCTAAAATATTAACTCCCCGGCAGGTTTGGAAATCCTTCTCACAGAGTAAAGCATAAAGTTGTGATAAAAACTACTTTAGTGCAGTGAAGGTATTTCACCTTATCATCAGCTTCATCATAAAAACAACTTGGTGACCAGTCAGTCTATCATCAAACCCCCCCCCTTCATAGCTCAGTCGTTGTTAATTTGAATTGTAAATTGAGCTTGAAGATCAATTAACAAAGGAGCTGTTGCAAATACTATCGTGCTTCAAGGGGAGTTTTCATTATATATGTGGGTTGGAAAGAAAACCTCTTGGTTGCACTGGTTAGAAAAAGAATCGTTCTTGTGATCTGATACTAAATTTTCATTTTGCTATTCAGGGGGGAGTACTACATGCTTAGTTTGAGAAACAAATGGACACCATCCCCCTCAGCTCACCCTGGGCCCTGAGGGGCTGCGAATCAACTGGCCAGAAATCCACCACCGCCTGTTTATTTAAGAAAGAATATGGTGGAATCAGGAAATTAAAATAAAACTGTCAGAGCGGGTTAAACTTAGAATTCATGCCATGTTAATGCTGATGTTTTGTGAAGAGGATATATATTACACTGTAGAAGAGAAAGTGATGTGAATTCCTTTTTAAGAAAGTTTTTAAATCGTATTGAGTTTCAGATGTTAAATATGCCAATGTATGAGACGAGTATAAAACTGTGGATCTTGGGAAACAGTATGCTGAATATAGTCATAAAATTATCCACATTTCTGTACTCCTTGGTTTAGGACAAATCTACTTGTTTTGCTGAGTTAGGAATCATATTCAAAATAGAAATCGTATTGTTAGCGTCTGTGCATGAAAAGCAAACCAGAGTTAGAATATTGCATGTTCAATAACCAATTTGATGAAAAGCCTTTGTTAGAGCTACTAACAAATACAAGGTCGTAATGACAACTTTCCCTTGTCATCCTTGTGAGCGAATTATCAGTATGTTTCTTCAATACTCTCTTCTTTCTTGTATAGAGTCAATTTGTCTACTATGGCCAGCGTGGCACTGTTTACTACAAAGGATGTTCAATTTCACGTTTTAGATGCATTAAAAGCATCAAGACTCCAGTATTGGGTAATTGTATTGCATTCTTTTTATAGATTTCAAGTAATCAATCATACATATAGTTGGAGATCTCTCAGTTGTTGGCAGCGGTAATCTGCATTAATATATTATTGTGCATTTGTATCCGGATGTTTCTTCACAATTATTACATGTTTCCTTTTCAGGTCCAACTTGCCAATCAAAACCAACTTGGGGATCATTATGGCTCCAAACATCCGAAGGAAAAACCCCCTACAATGTCCAGCTAAATTACAGAGTCTTTGGAGCATATCATACAAAAGTTCAAATTAGTGCTTTCTAGGTGTGCTTACCATTATTATGTACAAGTCTGTGTATCATTTAAGCCTAATTAAAACTTGTTCTATAAGATTCTGTCAATACACACCTTTGATGATCATCAAAGGTGAAGAGAACTGGTTCTATGCCCCGAATGCTGTCTGGATGGTGCCAGTGCAGGCCCGAACCCTGAAGGACTGCAACATTTTCAGAGTTTATTCCCCTTTCTGAAGCCTCCCCAAGAGGGAGGCTTCTTTCCTGGAACCTTTGAGTAAAGTAGAAATACTGGTCCAATAAAAACAAAACAGAAAACAAAACAAAACAAAAAAAAAAATCAAAAAACAGTTATCCTTGGTAAGCCAGGAATGGGGATATCCAATTGTTGTTTTGTGATTGTAATTCACTGATGATCAATAAATAGGATTGTCCATTCAGTTCTCTCCTTTCTCTCCTCTTGTTCTTTATCTTTCTGCCTCCTTTTTTTTTTTTTAAGTCTTTTGTGCGTTTATTTGCAACACGGGATCTCAACCTGGCTTCTTTACCTCGTCGTTATTGCAAGTAATCAAGACGGGTAAGATGATGCTCACAAATCCAAGAACCTTCTCCAGGTGCTCCCTCTCGCATGTCTGCGAGTCAGCTGTGTAATAAATGGATAGGAAAAAAATTCAAACTTCTTAGTGTAAATATAATGGTAAAGCGACTAGCTTAAACAGAGTCATAACCCGTAAGTTTCATCTTATGATAGTAGTCGCTTTAGCACGGGTTAAATAGTGGGTTTATTCCAGACGATAAAAATGATGGGTCTATTTGACATGGAAAAAAAAAAGGTTGAATTAAGGAACAGGGGGCAATTGAATTGATAGAACCATTTCACTTCATTGTCGGCCTCTGATTTCTTTTTGAATATTCCCTTTACTTTCATCCAAAAAAGGGGGAAAAAAAAGAATTCCGTTTGAAGAGTTAAAATTCTACCTTACATATAATTTCGGGAGATAGTTAGACTTGTGTGTCTTAATTTTCTTTCAAATCAATTTGAATTAAGCTCGCTCACCTTTTCCCTCGAGTTTGAAACACCACGATATGGTCGCCTTCTGTCATTCAATTCTATTATCCTACGTGTCTTCCAATGTTCGGCCTAATAATAAGATCTCCGTGGAGCTAACGTGCGAATGTGACGTTTAAGCGGTAAAATATAATGTATTCGTATCGTACTCTAATGTTCCATATCAAAGTGAATGCTCGAGAAATTGAAAGAAACAAGGTTTAGATCCATAAACGATGACGCATGTTTTTCAGCCGAGATAAATAAATTAAAAAAGAGGATGCATCGTTCGACAAAGTGTTCATGCGGCAGTAAGAAATTACAAAATTTTCATATTCACTCGTGAGTCAATTTTATCAGAGGATTTGACGATGATTCTAATTTGAAATAGAACCTTGTACCTGCCCCCTCACCTGCATCCATTTTTTTTTTTGGAGATTTATTATGGTTAATTTAAAATAGGTACTCATATTTATATATTCCTCACATTCCCTATCATCATATTCACTCTTATGCTAGCTGTATGAATTCAATGACATATTCAACGACTTTTTGGGTACCGAATTAAATTTATGTTCAACAAAAAAGACTAACAAATTTCAGAATCCAACCGGTATCTTCATTTTTCACAATTTCGAATAGTTAGGGTCAACAAAATCGTTGGCCAAAAAAAAAAAAAAAAGCTAATGAAAGGAGCCTCTGCTCAAATAAAACCCTACATACATGGTTTAAATTAATTGGTCATCTAGCCTCACTAAAGCATTGAGAATGAATACATAACATATGACAAATAGGTAATACAAGTGCTTCCACACATCTAGACAGCTAGATGTAACGGTTCAGAGAGTAACGGACCTATAAAGTTTAAATGAACATGAAAGCTAACGAGAATCTATCATTTCACAACTATCCGTATAAAGGCTTAAACAATAAAATTTCCAACTAGAACACAAGTATATTATTCTTACATGAATCTCTTACAGAGGAAAAACATGTATATATGTACATAAAAAAAAAAATCATTCAAAGTTCATGTAAAACCCATACCTTCTTCAGTTAGAGCAGTGTATCCAGAAATTAATGACAACCAAAAGTATCCGAAAACTGTCCACTAAAAGCCTCTTTCTACAACAAAGGAATTGTGCATATATTCCCATAAGATCAATATTATCTCCTTCCTCCATCAGCCCACTTCTCATCTATAAACTCTTCAATAACAAGCTAAATGATATTTGGTTCATCAATACTTAAAATTAGAACCATATGAAATTAAATTGAAACAAAGAATAAATTAGCTATAAGGAACCTCAATCCAATTGCCTCAGCTAATTAGATTCATGGATGAGCTTGTTCAAAAGGGACGTCAACAGTGCATCTCTCCTTTCTGCTCGGCTCTCTTCTCTCATTCTTCTCTGCTCTTCTCTCTCCCTCCATGCCTGCTCAATCCTCAATCTCTCCTTCTCAAGCTTCTCCATTGACTGCCGCCATTCCTGCTCAAACAGCTGCCTTTCATGAGCACGCCTTTCCATCATCTCCCTCCACTGCATCTCCATCCTCAGTTGCTGCTGGAAAAATTCCTTGAGCATTTCCTGAATGCTATTAGCAGTATTACTGATAGTATCTGATGCATTGTTTGCCCTTGAAGATTTCTCCATTGCAACCTTATCTGCTTTCCTTTTGCGAGAGTTGCTTCTTACAGGTCTCTCCTCTTCACTGTCTTCTTCAACCTCGTCATCATCTTCCGAGAATTCCTCTGATGACCGGTCTCCACTTAGTCTTTTCACCCCCTTCTTTGTCTGAGTTGAACGGGCCTCAGATTCAAGAAGTAACCGCTGCATGTTCTGCGCTCTTTGAGCAAAGATGGCATGTAATTCGTCAAAGAAAGGACATTGCCTCCCATGCTCCGGATCTGATGTCTCTTTCCCCTGCACAAGCATTATTGTCATGTAATTTTACCGGCCACAGAGAAAAATATACGCTTCAAGTTCTCACAAGGAAAACCATCATCACCCCCCCAAAAAAAAAAAAATCCTAGTAATTTATGCACAACCAACAATAAGTAGCAATTGATTAAGAAATAGAGAAGACAGTCTCTTAATATTGCTTCTAGATGAATTTATCAGATCCCCTATTCAGTCATAACTATGAGGGATGAGAAGCACAATTACACAAACTACATTTGTCATTGCAAACCCGTTCAAGTATGAATTAGAGTGAAAGAAGGATATGAATTATGAATCCCCGGAAGCCCCAAATACATACAATTAACTACCTAGTGCTCAGATTGGCCTAGCACGAAAATTTCATGTGCCAATTGAATTATTTTCCAAGGAAACGGCACCTACGGCCGTCATTACTTTCCCAAAAGATAATGTTGAGTAATTTTCTTCAAAAAACCCCACAACTAATTAAATTAAATCCAATAAATCTCTAGAAGCACGGAATCGACATGAAAACACACACAAGCGAGTAAGAGAGAGACCTTATAACGATTAACAAGGTTTTTCCACTTGCATTTACACTGTTCAGGACTCCTTCTAAAGCCTCTCTCCCTCATCTTGGCGCTGACTACCTCCCAGAGGGTCTTATTTCGCTTAGACGCAGTGAAGTCCCGTTCCAGCTCCGCGCGGATCGCTATGAACTCCCTCGTTTCCTGCTGGCCCCACTGCGGCTGCGCTGGAGCCCTGTCGTCCCTTACCATCGCAGCTGCCGTCGACGGAGACATCTCACCGGAAATCAACGACGACGAGGCCGTTTTGAGGAGGGAAGGCGTCATGATGCCCAAGCGGGACAAGGCTTCGTCATCTCCGCCTCCGAACATCGCAAGGACGTCGTATGAATCAGAGAAAGAAGCTGGACTTAGGGTTTGCAGCAAGAGTTGAGACAGTATTTCGATTTGGTGATGCTTGAACCTAGAAAGTAGAAAAAAGCTTCTTTCTGCGTTGCTTTTGGAATTTTCACTTTGCGGAGTTTTCTTTGTGGACAAGACAGGAATCGTTGACTATGCACTTTCCTTGAATTGACCTCTCAAACATGCCAACGCGTTTTCTTGGTTTATGGTTCGACAAAAAATCGCTGGATACGTGGAAGAGTGGGAGGTTTTTTTCCCCACTATAATAATCAGGGTTATTCAAAAAAAAAAATTGGTTAAAAAATATAAAATATTTTTTAAAAAATTAAATATTTAAAAATATAAAGTATTTTAAATTTTTTGATGTGTAATTATTATTTTTTAAAAGTGTTTCTATTGATAGTGACTTTATATTTATTATAAAATATTTAATAAGAGTAAATATAAAAAGATATGATTAATTTGAAAATAGGTAACTACTCTATTGGGATAAAATTTAATTAAAAATACCTTATATTTTTAAATAGAGGAAGTATATATACTCCAATTTTATTTATAAGTCATGTTATAAAAGTTTTATTTGATCTTATTTATAAATTACAATATGACTTCTTGGATAATATTTAAAAAATATTTTTGAAATTATCTTTTATGAGTAAAAAAAAATAACATGACATTATTTTTTAGATTTATTGTATATGAGCATATTTAAAATTTTACACACTTTCATTCTTTATACTTTTTTTGCATTGATATTAATGATATTGATAGAAATAACTTATAAAGAGGATTAGATGAGTACTCCGAAGTTATTTCTACCAACCTCATTAATATCAATATAACAAAAGTATAAAGAATAAAATTTAGTAAAATTACAAATATAACTCTCAAAAAGTAAATAAATTATACTCCCTCCATTTAAAAATGTAAGGTATTTTTTGAGAAGTTAAATATTTAAAAATATAAGACATTTTTAGTCTTTCGAGATATAATCATTGTCTTTTTTTAAAAATATCTTTATTGATAATGACTTTATATTTATTGTAGGATATTTAATAGGGATAAATATAAAAAGATACAATCAGTTTGAAAGTAAATAACTACTTTATTAAGTGAGATTCAATCAAAAATATTTTACATTTTTTAACGAAGAAAGTATAATATTTTTTTGTCTTACTTTTTAAAGATAATTTAAATATTTTATTTAAAATAAAACATCATTATCAATTCAATTACTAATAAAGTAAACTGCTTTATCATTTTAAAAAATGACAAATAAAGTGAAGTATGTCACAATCTCCGCTGCCAAATAGATTTCTTTTTCTTCTTTATTTACTAAAAGAATTTGTCTCTCTAGAATAATTATCGAATATGTAATATTACTTGATTATGGTCTTAAAAAATATTATTAAGTCAAGAGGTGCTCGACAAATAATAAAAATGAAGTACTAGTCTGGTTTGCAATATGGAGTAAGTTATTTTTTTAAAGCTTAGCTTGGACTATATAAATTCAATTTGATAATATTATTACTAAGACAATGCAATGTTTTCCCCATTTTACTCTTTTTTATGATCAAAATTTATAAGTAATTAATTCATTATAATTAATATAGAATTGACATTTGATAAGTATATATTTGAAAAGTTATGGAACTTGTTTAACTATTATTTTTTGTCTATGTAAAATAGTCAAATAAGACTTTTGTAAATCGAAGGGGTAGTAATCTCGGGTTTTTGTCATGGTCAAAATCTGACAAATATGCTAATCAAGCGACAATCTTATAGTAAATCAACTTATAAAACTTTTGCTGTTCCACCGCAATGTGATACGATGTAATCCTCATGCTCCTCGTTCAATGGCTCTCAAAGTTTGCTTCGCTTTAATTATCTAAAGAGAGAGTATTGCTAGTTGGGTATGTCAACCCTTATCCTTCCAAATGTTTTATTTTCACGTCAAGTTTAGGAGACTTTAACAGGACCGGATTAAGCTAGATCGAGCCAGATCGGGACCCTTTCGAGCGAAACTTTACTACCAATGTTGCTGCATTCCAAAGTTTAAACTCGAGATTTGTTCTATTACTACTTTGCCAATTGAACCAGGGGTCGGAGGTTAATAGAACTAGTATCTTTTAACTTCACGATAGCATAGCTGTGATTCCCTATATTTTGCTGAGTTCGTTCTTTAATGTTGGAGATTCACAGCTAAACTTGGTCATGACTTTGTAAGTCGAAGATTGAGGTGGGGTGGGGGATTTGGTATTTCCACTCTTTTCTACACTCGGCACTTGGCCTTAATAACGGTAATTGTCCGCCTCCGTCTTAATCTCTCAGAATCTTTGGTGTTTTTGGTCCTAGATTGAATCCTTTTGCACCCCATTGTGTTGCGAATTACTCAGTTGGTTCTAGCTGATTCGTAGCCCGTAGCTTTATTTATAATCTCTCTGCTTTCTCTATCAAAGCACGTGGTTAGAAGGAGTCTATTATCGTCCCCGCTAGATCTTGGCTTTCAGAAACTCAATATTCATTGGTGTAGACGGTTCTATCATCCATATAAATTTCCAGTTTTGTCATTGATTGTTTGGATTACTAAACGATGTGCCTCAGAAGGAGCCGGTTTCGTTTACGAGGTGCTCAAAGAGGCGCTCGTTCTCAAAGCGGTAAGTTAAGTTAAATCCCCGGGATTTTGTTTGGGTTCTTTTTAATTTTAGAGATGAACTGATGCAGACCAAGCTTCCAATAAACATTAAAAATTAAATAGATGAACAGAGCAAACTGAAAGTAAAATTTCAATGCTGGACACCAAGAAATTTAAAGTCTTCCCCCGGGTGCCCATCATCTCGTTTCTTGAATATTCATGTTAGTCACATTTATATGGGAGCTTGAGAGTTGACCTTAAGTGGAGTGGTAAATTTTAAGTAGAGAGGCCTATGAGTGCTAGCAACTGATTAGGTTTGTGTTTACATTTCTGGTGGTCATGCATCAAGAAGCTGCTTAATTGACCTCCTGAAGTTGCTAGGTTGAGCGGTGGGAGATAAATGGACTGATCTGTCTAGTCCAATCCAATCTTTACTTGTGCTAAGGCCCTTCTTTGAGGGACCATTTTGGTAGGTTTTGCTTCCTGTCATCGTATGGAGTAGCAGACTCTGAAGAGTTGGACCATGAAAATTTGAAGGCAACAACATAAACTATCTGCAAACTGTGCTCTCTTATAGCACCTCTATCAGGGAAACATCATTCAGGATTAACCAATAGGATTATCAGATATCTCTCACTGTTTGAACTTTGAAATGCATTCTGTTTTGGTAAAATGTAGAAATGGAGATTGGTCTGGAGCAACACTTTCCTCATTCCTGAAAGTTCTGATATGTGAATTTGAAGTTGTACAGCGGGCAGCAAAAGTGCTGGCCTTCCTATAGCACCTCTATCAGCTAGACTTTCGTCTGGATAAACCAATAGGAATGTCAAATCTTTTGCTCACTGTTTGAAATGAAAATCTATTTTTCTTCCTCTTCCCTTCTATGGAGCATTATCTTTAAGAATGCAAATGGATTTACTTGGGTTGGTAAAATTACTAGCGGGATGGGAAATTGATCTGGACCAACATTGTTTTGATAGATGTGAATAGGGCTGCACTTTGGACTGGGTTGGTTCATGTGGTATTTGTAAAGAGTAGGAGCACCATGCTGCTTAGTTTTTATCTTAATTGCTAAATTTTTCATATTTTGGTGTGTCAGTTTCTTTCAATTGGTTGGGATTTAAATGCAGTGCTGATGAAGTTTGATATATGATATGTATGCACGACTGACAAGTAGGAAGCCACTTGATTTGCTCAAGTGGAGTTGAGATAATCTTTCATTTAGGTTTGAATGCCGGCTCTGATATGTTGTGTTCCTTGTTCTCATGCAGTCAATAATTTGGAACTTTAGAGGATATTTAAAAATTTTTTTGTTCCATTTAGATATTGCCATTTGGATCAAATTGGCCCTTTGTCTGGCGTAATTGTTAACACTCTTGATGAACAGGTAAGAAAACTAGTCGATGAAGGAATGGATGTAAATGTTGCTGCGTTGGAACCAAAATCAAAAGGGTAGAGGCTTGTATAGTTCTGATCGATGTTGTTGCTTTTCTTTTTACCAGCTTTGTGAAAACCATGGAAGTAGACAAATCTTTCATTTTTTAACCTGAAGACAAGATGACAAGGTTGACATTGAAGGCGACGCTGCTTTGTAATATCGACTCAAGAATATGAGAATTTACTTCGCTTGGATCGTTAAACAAACATGGTAATGCCAAATTATTATTACACCCTTGACCCTTTCTTGTTTCGTGACCTTTCTACTTTTTACGAAACTCACGTGCAGATTAGACGAAGACATTTCTTTCCTCTCTTTTGACACCCCCCCCCCCCCCCCGGGGTTTTGTATTTTCTGTACTCACGTATGGAGGAAATTTACCCCCAGAGGTGTATTTTTAGGTTTTTCTTGTATACTAAGTCACTGTTGAGCAGACGTTGCATGTCAACCACTAATTTATTATTTATGATTTAGACATGTCTTGGTCATCTTCCCTTGCACTTTTTTTTGTGGCCTTTGTATTTAAAAAAAATGCCTAACAAGATAATTGGAATATTAAACTGTTGAATTCAATGTAAAATAAAACAAGATCAGATTTATAATTTTGGAAGTTGTTCTTTCATCCTCTGTTTAATTTTATTCATAAATCATTTTTAGCATATTTAATCAAAATTAAGACAAATTTTAAGTTTCATTAATTTTATTTAAAAATTTAACAAGTTTTTGACTGATTAAATATATATACTTTAAAAATAAAATATTTTAATATTTAATAACTTTTTTATTATTTATTAGGGGTAAGATGTTAAATATAGATGTAAAAATCATCCATTAAATCGTATTAAAACAAATATTTTTATCCCGCACTGCATAAATATTTTGTCACTTTCGTCCAAATACCCCTAGGTACCAAAAAATTGAGAGAATAATCTATTTACCTATTGCAATATATAATATTTTTTTTGGAAAAATATATCTAATATATAATATGAAAACTCAAAATATATTTTTCCTAACTTTTTCCCTTTCATTAAAAAATATAAAATATTTTTTATTTTAAAGAGTGTGGTCGTTGCTTTTTTATAAAAAAATTCTTATTAAATAAATTATTTTTTATTTATTTTAAGATAAAACGTTATATTAAATAAAAATAAAAAATATAATTAATTTAAAAATAAATAATTATTTTATTAAAAAGATAAAATTTAATTAAAAATATCTAAATTCTTCAATGGAGAGAGTATAATATAAAGGAGTAAGCATGGCTAACTGAATATAAATGAATTGTTAGGAATCTTTTGGTTAGTGCTTGAATCGCAATAGTGCTTAGTTGGTTTTGTCTTTTCAACAGGGAATCTAAAGCTGATTTCACAGTCAACAACAACTCATGAAGAACTCAATAGTTCGTTTGAAAAGATAGACGGGTGAAATAACGAAAAATCTTGAAAGCAGTCAATTAATCAAACAAAAAAATCAGGGCAACGCACGAATAGGAATAGCTTGTTTATTTTCCAGTTAAAAAAAAAAAGAAAAGAAAAATTCTCGTGATTTCCTCTCTTACAGACTAAATCCAAGTTGAAGCTTGAAAGACAAGTATGATCTGACGGTGTCAAGTGTCAACCACAAAGGATTGGCACGTGATATTCCCTGTTTCATCCTCTCGTTGCCGGCATTGTACAACACGACCAACCAATATTATATTATCTTCATTCTCATTCGCCCCATACCTTTGTAATCCCTTTTCCACTAATCGACAAATTTTCACTTTTCAGCAAGTCCAAACTAAACTACCCCAAACCCAAAAAATAATGTATTTATATTTATAAGAGTATAAATAAAATCACCCATGAAATAAAAGTTAGGATTTTAACTTTTTAAAAGAAAATAAAAAATGGGGAAAAAATCAATCTTGGTCGGACGAGTCCGGCGGTTCAGGAATCGGCATTCTGGGTAATATATGAACCGCGACTGCTTCAAAACCCGCTGGCAAATCCACAGCCCATAGTCGCGCCGGCGACGACACCACGTCCACCACTGAGATCCCTGCGCCACCGGCTGAAACCACGCAAAGTCTTCCACCTTGAGCTGCGAGTTGCTCCGCTCCTCTCAGCCTCTCCGATTGCATAACCTCTTCCCAAGAATCGTTCCTCGCATCGTACCTGCTAAGAGCACTCCTCGCCTCGTCCACCGCGTACATGACTTCCTCATCCATGGCGGCCACCGGTCCTCGCCATCCCAATAACATCCCCTCCGGCATGTCGTTCCACTCATCATTCTCCACGTCGTACATGATTCCCTCCTTCGCCGCATTTCCTTTCACGTTCACCATACAGATCTTCCCTCTCCATCCCACCGCATCGATTGCGTCTCTGCTAAATCTTCCGTCCTTCAGACCCGTTTTCTTCTCCCAAACCTCGCCGGATTTCCCGTTTAAATCCCATTTCTCGAGCGACCGAGCGACGTCGATGGAGAATTGCGCTCCGATTCCGCTAGCTACGTAGATCGAGCCGCGAGCCACGCCCAGGGCGCACCACCGGCGAGGATTGGGGAGTGTGGGGCCCACGTTCCAGTCCCGGCTTAGGGGGTTGAAGATGAGAGGGCGGGAGAGGGCGGGGTAGAGGTTGTTGGCCGTGGCGGCGAGAAGCACGAGGTTGCCGGCGACGGCGACGGACTGGATTGGGAGGTTACGGGAGAGGAAGGATGGGTGGCGGAGGAGGATGCGGAGAGGAGGGTCCGGTGGCGGCGGAGGGAGGGTGTGCCAGTGGGACGAGACGGGATCAAAGCTGTAGAAGCGGATAGAGTCGGAATAGGCTTGCAAGTCAAAACGGCGTAGAGAGAGAGAAAGGGAGGGAAGGAAGAGGAGTATATAAGGCGACGCCATGAGTGGCAAACGGAGAAGAGGAGTGAAGGGTGAACCAGAGCGAGACAGGGCTGGGCTATGTGATCGGGAAGACCGGGTATAAGCGGCGGCGGGTGATGCTGCCGAAGAATCTTTCGGCGTTTGGAAGAAGGGACTGAGAAAGAGTAAGTATTGTGAGCCATGGAAGTTGCAGGTTTTATGTAGTGTTGTTTTGAGTTTGTGTAGATGTTAGAAAAAGTTGAATGGGTCAGAGAGGAAGAAGAAGCATCTATGTATGCAAAGTGCGTAACCAGAGGCACGGATTATCAGTTGGAACTTGGAAGTACAATTTTTTTTTTCCCCCCATACAGGAGTCACTACTTTTTCCTGGGGGCAGCACTCGCTAATTCGAATTAAAAAGCTAAAGTTTAATCTTTTTGTAATTATTTAATTCATTAAACGAACATTTATCGCTAGGGGCTACTTTTCCAGCTGCTGGCCCTTCAACATTAAATATGGACACCGTCATCCATTAGAGTTTCACTTCAAAAAACCTGGCTGGATAAAGATCATGCTGCTGATTTCAATATTTCATTACCTATGCTACTAGCGAAACACTCCCTTTGTTTTACATTATAATTTTTTTAAAAAAATTTATCTTAAAATATAAAATATTTTAAATAAATTATGAATTCATTAAATATATTAATTTTAATATTATTTTTTTCTGTAATTAATTTTTATCCATATTCTTTTTAATATATTAAATAATAGATATTTTTAAAAGTTTATATTTTTATTTTAAAAATATAAGGTGATTAAGTATATTTAATAAGATTTATTAATATATAAAATTTTATGTAAAAACATCTTATAATTTAGAAGAAGGACTATTATTTCTTTAAGAAGAGATATCTTAAAAAAAATATTTAATGACCAAGAAAGCATCCCATATTCTGGAGCCTGGACCCTTAAAAAACTCTAATTGGTCTTAAAAAAATAGTTAAATTAGTTATGAGAAATAAGTTTATCAATTTTCCGTGCTATTCTTCCAAAGTTGTCTCTATGTTTAGTGGAATATATTAACTAAAACATACTTTTATGATCTTGTTTATTAGGTATGTTGACATTATTTGATTCAATCTTATTTATATAGCATATTAATGATGATTGTGTTCATCTTTACTTTTTTACTCATGTTAAATATTAAAAAAGTTATTAAATGTTAGAGTATTTTATTTTTAAAATATCTATATTTAATATAATAAAATTAAAATTTATTAAATTTTTAAATGGAGTTAATAATTTTTAAGATTTTTTTTAGTTTTAATAAAAATTGTGAAGGTGATTCATAAATAGGATCAATAAGAGTAAGGGAGGGCAAGAGTTGAATTAAATCATTTTCCATGTATTTATTGTAAAAATAGAACTCCCTATATCCTAATTTACAATATACATTTGAAAAATATTCAACGTCCCAAAATATTATATTTTAATAAAAATAAAATTTTATTAATAATATTTTTTTAACATTACTTTTATATTAAAATGTGTTTTTGAAAGTTTTTTTTGGAGAAAAAAATATACATACGCAAGATAAAAGACTTGTATTCAAATAGCGAAAAGTAATAAATAAAAAAGGGTTAAGTATAAGAATACCTATAAATTAATCAATCAGGAAATCAAATAATCTAAAATGATAAAAATACTTACAACATTATTAAAATTGATGCAAAAGTAACCAACTTATTAACTTGTCTTAACACCATTAGTTTTCAATATTAAATGCTGATTGTGCTTATCATGTGTTAATCTTTGCTAACGTGGATCAGAAAAAGATAAAAATATCCACAAAATTCTCACCAAGAGTATCTAATAACTTAAAGTAAAAAAATGGACAGTAACATCTATAATGTTATTTTAGTGAGTGCAATAGTAGCCAATCTATCAAATCTTTAAATTTAATTATTTAATTGACATTTAAATAGAAGTTATTTATTTTTTGCTAACGTAAACAAAAATATTCCAAGGCAAAATTCTAGGAGGTTGATCAGTCATCATATGACTATTGCCTGAGAAAACCCCCCCCCCCCCCTCCCCCTCCCTCCCTCCCTCCCCTCCCCTTCCCTTGAACCAAACAAACCCTTAAAGCAAGGGGGATAGGAGGTGTGCATGGTTACAAAGGTGTTACAAGTAGAGACAACCTCCTTCATGAAGTGCTTGCATTCGTTGTAATGAGTCACAGCCTCTTCATTCTCGATATTTGATTGTGTGCAATATATCTCATATTAAATCTCAGGTTTTTCAAACAAGAAAAATGAGTGAAGGGGAAGGGAGGGACAAGGATTCGTGGTAATAGAAAAAAGCAAGTGATTTAACCTGCTATTTAGTCAAAATAATATTTTTTTCATATAGTATTCATACGACGACTGATCAAATTTTATAGAATTTTATTTGAAAATATTTTTTATCAACATCAACAAGTTTAGGTGTTAATTAAACCGCCAGCATTTAAAGAATTTGATAAATTAATTACTATTGCCTATTATAGTAACATTATGGGTATCATTATTCTTTTTCTCACTTTAAACTATTAGATACTCATGATCGATGACTTTGTATGTATTTTTTTTTCCTTTTTTTAGTTCACATAAGTAAAAATTGACATGCGGCAAGTACAATCAGTATTAATACTGGAAACTAAAAATGTTAGAGCAAGTTAACGGTTTGGTTATTTTTACACCAACTTTAATAATATTATGAATATTTTTACTCTTTTTCTCATTTTTGACTATTGAATATTATTGGTTGACCACTTAGCATGTATTTTTGCACCTTAATCCAATAAAAAATTATGATGTACACACAATTTATCACTTGCAAGAGCAGGGAAATAATGCGATGTAGTTTAGTTGCGAATAGTGTCATGACACGAGATACAAGACTTGTATTAAGCTGCACGTTTGGTTATATTTTGGCATAATGTTGGATTTTATTCTTAATTTCAGAATCAGTGGGTCGTATCAGATGATTTTATCACAAATATGAAATATCTTCCCATGCTAAGTTATAGCTCAAACAAATCCAGAACTTTAGTCACCTCATTAGATCCATCTCTCTCACATTTTCCTCTTTGCTGGCGAGCAGTAAAAAAAAAAAAAGCAAAGTATGCAAATCAAGAAATCAATAATCCCTTAAATAACAATCAAATCATGCATGGAAACAAAAATAAAATGTTACAGTGAAGGAAGTCTCTTTAATCTTTTGGGAACAGGTCTATCAAACTAAAAATAAGACCATATTATATAATAAGAAATGTTGAACTTTAAAACGATAATAAAAAAAATAAAGTTAGAATATCAATGATAAAGTTGTTAAGAAGGATATATGTGCATACAAGATAACAAGAACAATAAGTGACATGCATACATGAGAAAAAAGTAGACATGATATCTATTGAAAATAAGGTGATATAAAATTATTTAAAATGCTTGAATATATATAAAAATTTAATTGTTGATGATGCACAATAATATACCATACAATTTATATAGCTGGCTTTGTATAATAAGACAATATTTGTTGTTGTCTTTGTTGTGGTTGTTGAGGACTCTAGTATAGGGATGAAGCAAGCACCAAGTATGGAAAATGTATTCACATAAAAAATCCACCTTTTATATATTTGCAAGATGATTTATTTTTCTATAAATAAAATTTTAAAAGGTTTTTTAATTTCTTATATGAGTTATTTTGTCTTGATTTTTGTAACTTTTAATGTATAATTTTTTTTTCAGTGTTTTGATGTACAATTCTAGAGGTACTCTACCAAATTCTAAAAAAAAATATAATATTCTAATTTTCAAGAACACTCTTTTTATGAATTAAATAACTCTTTTTTAGATGCAAGAATAAAATTAAAAATTAATTTATTTTAAAAAAATTTATTATTTTAATTAACTTATTTCAATTTTAATAAATTAATTAAAAATAACTAATAAAAAAGATGGAAGAGAGAATTTCATTTTGAAAGCAATCTTTGACAAAAATTTGCGGCTTTGACAAAAAATATTATTTTAAAAAGGCAATCTATAAGTGAAGGTGAGGGAAACAGGTGAAGTAGCATCTAAAAGATATCTGGAAAGGGATGCCACGTGGAAGGCCGAGGATCGTATGTCCTCTAAGGTAAGTTCAGTTAAAAAAGAAAAAAAAAAAAAAATGGGGCCTTTTGAGATTAATTACGGGGATTTGGACTTTGTGGTCTGTTATTAAATGCTTGTACGTCCTGTGTCCGCGTACTATGGTCAAGAAAATTTATCTTATTTAAAATAAATCTAAATGATTTAAATTGCATTGTACTTGATCGTTTTAAATTATAAAATATTTTAAAATAAAATTTTATATATAAATAAATTTTATTAAATACACTTAATAATTTTATTTTTAAAATAAAAATATAAATTTTTAAAAATATTTATCATTTTATATATTGAAAAAAGAAGGAACGAAAATTAATTATAAAAAAAAAGATAAAATTAAAATTGACACATTTAATGAAACCTTAATGCGTCTAAAGTTTTTTATATTTTAAAATGGATAAATTTTTTTAAAAGTATCTTATAATTTAGGACGGATAGCTTTTTATTTTGAAATTTATTTTATGTATAAAATAAAATATCAAATCTAAAATCTAAAATACTCTCCCTATCTCAAATTATAAGATATTTTTAAACAATATTTTACATACTAATAAATTTTATTAAATACACTTAACAACGTTATCTTTCTAAAATAAAAATATAAATTTCTAAAAATACTCATCATTTAATATATTGAAAAGAAAAAAGATAGAAATTAATTATAAAAAAAAAGGGTAATATTGAAACTGATGCATTTTATGAAATCTTAATCTACTTAAAGTGTCTTATATTTTGGGATAGAGAAACTCTTTCAAAAATGCTTTATAATTTAGGAAGGAGGTAGTATATAAGAAGGCATATTATTGTATTGAAAAAAAGACATAAGCTAAGTGTAAACAATACCACAACTTTAGGTTAAAAAAAAATATTTACCTAAACTTCCTGCAATTTGTGAAGCTCTTGAGTGAATAAATGAAGCATTTACTTGTGGAAAGATATGATATTTGGGAAACTACAAACTATTCCCATAATTTAGATTTAGAATTATAAAGAATTTTTAATTAATTTACATTTTAAATAGGTTAGTTAATGATATTAAAGTTTTTATTTTTTTTCATGTTTGCTCTTATTTAATAAAATATTTTAATTAAAAAAATTATTAGTTACACTCAATATATAATTAAGAATATTTAAAAAACTTATTTTTGAAAAAATTTATCAATTTCACATTAAAAATTTAAAATATCTTATATT